ATCATCGAGCGAGAACTAGACAAAAGTGTACAGTACCATTTGCAAAATTATTTAAACTGCCTCGTTAAAATTTAAGAATATACTTCATTTAAAAGCATATTTATCCAAAAATAATAACAAGTGAATTAACTTAACGTTCTACACACCTATAAAACTTTTGCTTTGTTTTCTATTGTTAATTTATATACATTTTTGTTTTAAGAAATTGCGAAACATTTTCGTCTAGTACTGTACAGTTCTAGCCGATCTTCTAAGACCGCCCATCGAGAGCTCTCCTCGTTCAAGCTTGTTCCAACTTTTTCTGTCTTAGGCGTGAGTAGTGTGTATTCTTTCTATCTTCGCGCAGATTTCTTCAAGGTCACAATTCTAACGAATTGAAATGGACTGTAACTGCTAGTGTATTAACAGGCGTATAATAACTGCACTTATGTTCCTAATAAGTAGTTTTCTTCCGAAATGGAATTGGTATAAATTTATAACAAATGTTAAGGAATAATCAATAGCAGGTTTTTTGTCTTCAGGCAGTCACATTACGAAAAGTTGGTTATCTTAAGCTTTATTTAATTAAAACGCCAATTTTAAAACACCTAATGTAGATTTAAATAAAGACAATTAAAAGATGAACAACACTTTAGTAATAATAATTTATTTAACAGATATTAGTTCATGTTCTCTGTTCTTTCACCGTTTTCATGTATTAACCCTGTGAAGGCCTCCAAGTAAAATCGGAATCTCACAAATTACTTCCTATTACATGTATATAATAAATACATTTTTATTTCACTAAACGCTAAACAACAATCTCAATTAATATCGGTTATAAAATTATCTCAAACAATCAACAGAATTACAAACAGATATGATGGAAAGTTCAGATAAGAATATCTTTTTATATACTCGTACCTATACCTTTTTCTGTTTTATTTTGTACAGACGTCTTTCCAAAAATTTGAAATGCTTATTACGTTAGAAGTAGTAACATGGTAATGTTTTATGTTAAGTACGCAAATATTTGTCGTAAACTGAATTTTTTATTAGTGTTTTTATTTAATCGGTGAATTTATTAATTCTTATGATTCCATATTTAAATTATATACGAAGTACGAAAAGTGCTTCCATTTGCCCTTATTAAATACAATTTATGGAAACTTGATTACAATTTTCATTTGTGATTGAATCTGGATCATTCTGATCGTTTTTATTTTTCTAATCGTACACTAAAGGTTGCACAAAACTTTTGGTAATAACGACAAGAGTATTTAGGAATGAAGATAGTTGAAACGGAAAATATTATGTGTTTCTCTGAAAGCTGTCCTAAACTAACCGAACTTAAGATCTTTTGAACAAAGCGTAGCACCCTTGAAACGCTATAAATTGTATTTATTGGACTTATTTTATTGCTTAATTGTATGGTATTTTGGTGTCTAAGGAATTTGCCATTCATAAAGACTCTTTGAGAACATTCTTGTAGATCCTTTTTTCAAACAGTTGTAAAGTTTTGTTTTTGCTAAAAGCTAGTACAGAAAACTGAAAACTTCAAATACCAAAAAAGGTTTTGTTTCAAGAAAAGAATATATTAAACTTGCTTCAATTAGTTTAACTCATAAATCCACTGGAAGTAACAATTTTACGTTTCGTCCTGCGCATTTGGTTTTGATCTTGCATATTCTGTCTTCACTATAGTCTTGGTCTTGTTCGTTTAGTCTTGGTTTTAGTTTCGGTCTTTTTCTTTCGGCCTTAGTTTTGATCTTGCTAATGTAAAGACAGTCTTGCAAAAATATAAAACCAATGCCAAGATTGCAAAAGCAAAAACAAATTTGCTCATTATTACCGGAGCCAAAACTCATAAGACTGCTATTGTTAACACATGTATCAGACTATTTCCTATAAGTATTTTACCATAAGTATATTCTTAAGGTATATCTGGGTTATCATACGATAGTGCATCTTGTCAAAAAAAACCCAGCAAATAAGGGACTAAAGTACGAAAGTAATTCTAAAGGTAATGTTTGTATTATTATTATCTACGTTATTTATACAAACATTAACGATCCAGTATACTTATTAGGTTGGTACAGTACGTAAACATTTTTTTTTTAGTACCATCACGGAATAAATTAATAATTTTAGGACAAAAACAAGGCGTTAATGACGCCTTACCTAAACCTACCTTAAACTAGTAAAAACAACATTCTTCATATATTAATTGTTTCATTAAAATTAAAAATCGATGATTTATGCACATTAATTACTCATGTGCGAAGATGTACAAGGAAAAATTAATTTATAATTCTCCTTCTAATTATAACTTACGTCAAAATTAAGTTAAGTTCCGCAATTGAAAAAAATAATTATAACCAGTTTAGACGCTCGCTATTTTTTGTTGTTTTAAATTATGTAAAAAAGAGGAAGTGAAAAAAATTGTTTTCCTCTTTTTTTTTTGTAATACATCAACTTTGGATGAAATTTAATTCTGATTATTAATAACTATGTATGTAAACAGTTTGT